TCTGACCAAATATTTTTAATGACGTTTCCTTCAAGTTCTTTTAGTCACTGTCAGCGGGAAAATCAGCCTCACAGATGGGTCTTAGCAAATGGTAGAAGTGTATTTATTGATTTTTCTCCAATAAGCAGAAATTTTCTCACTATTAACCAGAATTTAGATAGTTTGATTGTTTCTTTCTTTCTTGTGATGATGTGATTGGATTTCTAATGCACTTTAACTTTTTCATATCATGTATTTCCAAATAATGTGACATGTAACAGATGTTTTGCCACTTTAAAGATGTCTTCTTTAAGATTGAAGTTAGATCAGTTACCCCTTCCCCAGCTGAACTACTTCTAACCTCACATTTCCTTTGAATTCAGGAGCATTGTTGTTATATTTTATTATATTTTCACACACTCTTGTAATTTTGATTAAATTCATTCTGGTGTTAAAAAATGTCAAGTAAGCTAGTTTTCTGAAGACATTTAACTCTCCTCAACAACTCTGCAATAGGATCATTGACATCTTTTTAAATTTTTACTTTAGCTCCTATACTCAGGGGGGGAAAAAAACCTTTTATTTTGATAGGTACCTTGGTAGGAACAGACTGTTTCTGAACATAAAGCTGAAAAGACACTGACAGAATCATAGCAGCTTGGATTTTACTAGTAATATCTTTTAATGTGGAATTCACATCTATAAGCAAACGTATAGACAAGAGCTCTATGTCAACAAAACTGTTTCTGACCTGCATCTCTGGTGTTCAGAACATAGAGAACAGATTTGAAAGAAAGCCTTCCCACCTTCCTGTCATCACAGCTTTCCCACCACTACAGAAACTGCTGTGCTTGCATAATTTTATAGCTTAAAGTTATGTGTTTGAATCATGGAGAACCTTGAGAGTCAGGATAACATTGCCATACAGTGAGCAGGGGTGTCTGACTAATTAACAGCAGTATGGATGATAGATCTAGGCTCAGTGGACAGGATAGACCAGAAAATGGACAGAGACAGGGCTATCAGTTAGGGCACCACACAATAAGTGGTGAGAGGCTGTGCCAGGGTTTAAAAAAAAAAAAAAAAAGAGGAAATAGAGAGGAAAGGATGAACTGGAGACACAATTCAAAGGAAATATCAAAGGGATTCAACCGATTGAAGAGAATGAATGGCCCTAGGGCTTTGATTCCAAATTACTAAGAAAATGGTGAAACTGTGTTCAGAAATGAATTTGCGAAGGGGACTTAGTTGGGAGATGGAGAATGAATTTTTGTGGAGATGTGTCCTAGAGGCAGCAGGAAATATGGGATGGGAACACAGGTGAGAGGTCAGGTATATGGACAAACAAGTGTAATCAACACAGTTTTGTGGTAGATGAAGCTGTGAGAAGATGTGAGCTCTCCCAGAAGAGCAGCAGGAAGACGTGAGCTCAGAATGCTGAAGACTCAGCTTTGGGAACATTGGGAACTCGTGCTTAGCAAGAAGGAGGAAGAAGAGTTATGGTGACAGAAGAGGAGGAGAGGAAAATAGAAAAACAAGAATACTGTATGCCATCGAAGAAATAGAAAGCCTCAAGAAGGAAAGGACAGTCATGTTTAACAGGCCACTTCCCACATCAGATTGTGTGTTCAAATCCTGCCTCTGTCACTTATCAATTTGGTGTTATTTCAAGTTTTTTCTCTCTCTTAGTTCATCATGTTAAATGCTAATAATCTACCTCATAGGGATATATTGAGGATTAAGTGAGAAAATGTACACAAAATACTTTGCGCAGTACCTGGCACAAATCAGAAGTTAACAGATGCAATTGATGACTTTTAAGGAAACAATAGAATGGTAAGAGCAGAAAATATTGCAAGAGATTTAAGAACAACACATTGAGAAAAGGCAACAGATATGGAGAACTTACTAGAGTAGGGATTCTTTGGCCGAAAATGAAAAGACATCAAGAACAATGGCTGGAAGAGGCAAAATGCAGTGAAGGCTTTGCTTAAGTTTGGTCTATACTGAGCAAGGATTCTCATTGTTAGTGTTGTCATGGAAGCCTATTTTTTAGGGTTGGGCCATTTTTTTCACTTACATGAGGCCATTTGAGCGTTCAGAATAGAAATCAAACAATTAAACAACTACAAAATCTTGTCAAAATATATGTGAACAGTAAAAGAGTACAGCCTTTGTGGAAAATAGTATGATGGCTCCTCAAAAAATTAAAAACAGAACTACCATCTGATCTAGCTATCCCACAACTGAGTATACACTCAAAGAATTGAAAGCGGGAACTCAAACAGATATTTGCACAGCATTATTCACAATAGCCAAAAGATAGAAACAACCCAAATGTTCAGCAACAGATGAATGTATAAACAAAATGTGGTATATGCATACAATGGGATCTTATTCAGCCTTAAAAAGAGGAAATTCTGACACATGCTGCAGCATAGATGAACCTCAAGGTCATTACGCTAAGTGAAATAAGCCCGATACAAAAGGACAAATATTGTATGATTCCATTTATGTAAGCTACCTAAAGTAGTCAAATGCATAGAGACTGAAAACAGAATGGTGATTACTGGGAACTCAAGGGAGAGGGAAAGTGAGAGTTAGCGTTTAATGGGTAGTTTCAGTTTGAGAAAATGAAAACATTCTAAAGATGTTTGGTGGTGATGGTTACATAACAATGTGAATGTATTTAATGCCACCTAAGTACTATACTTAAAAATGGTTAAAATGGTAAACTTTATGTTATGTATATTTTACCACAAGTAAAAAATATATATGTGTGTATATATATATCTCTCTGTATAAAAATATATATCTAGAGAGAGAGAGAGAGGGACAATATGAGCAAAATAAAGCAATGCCCTTTGCAAAATAAAATGGATTGAAAAATTATGAGAGACGATCAACTTGTAATGGACCTTTGAAAAATATGAAACATTTTATACATACAAAATAAAATACACAATGTAAATATAGACATAAAAATAAAGAAAAATCTAGGCAGCCACCATCCAGATTAAAACACGAACCATCACTAATAGTATTGGGAACCTTGCTGCATCTCCCTGATGACATCTTTCTCCGTCCCTGACACAGGATAACTGCTATTCTGAATGTGTGTTTACCATCCTTTGCTCTTTATTATAGTATTATGGCATATATATGTAACTCTAAACAATATATTGCCTTTCCACTCAGCATCATGAGGTTCACCTATGGTGATATTTGTAGCATGCTCACTGAGAACTGCACTATCTTCTCAATGAATTGAAGTTTTCATTGTTATGTAGTAACCTTCTTAATTCCTAATAATGCATCTTGCTTTAAAGTCTCTTTTGTCTGGTAGTAACATGTCTATATTAATTTTCTTTTGGTTATTGTTTGCCTATTTATCCATATGTACTTTTAGCTTCAATCTTTGTGTTTTTATGTCTTTTTAGATGTGCTTATAGCTGGATTTTTACATAATCCACTCTGATAATTTCTATATTTTAACTGACACATTTGAGACTGTTTCTTTTTATTGATTACTGA